TTGCGTCCGCAGCGGTATACGACGTGAATGTCGTACTCCTGGATGCGGAGTGCCCATCGCGCAAGGCGGCCAGAAGGGTCTTTCAGCGTGGAGAGCCAGCAAAGCACGTGGTGATCAGTTACTAGATCGAACGGGCGGCCGTATAAGTACGGCCAGAACTTTTTAAGCGCCCACACTAGAGCCAAACACTCTTTTTCTGTCACGCTGTAATTAGTTTCGGCTTTCGTTAGAGTGCAGCTAGCGTAGGCTACAACGTATTCTGAATAGCCGGGTTTTCGTTGAGCAAGGACAGCACCTAGCCCGACGCCGCTGGCGTCGGTGTGCACTTCGGTAGGAGCCGTAGGGTCGAAGTGGCGAAGAATAGGTGGGGAGGTGAGCAGACGGCACAGAGTAGTGAAGGCAACGTCACATGCAGGGGACCAGGAGGAGAGGTTCACGTCACCGCGAAGAAGCTGGGTTAATGGTGACATGATGGATGCAAAATTGCGAACAAAGTGCCGGAAATATGAGCATAGGCCTACAAAACTGCGAAGTTCCTTCATGGTCGTCGGCTTATGAAATTCTACGACTGCTCGAAGTTTTGCTGGGTAAGGCAATATGCCGTGCTTCGACACGATGTGGCCTAGGATGACGAGCTCGCGTGCAGCGAAGTGGCATTTTTTCAGGTTAAGCTGCAGGCCAGCGTTGGTCAGACAAGTCAAAACGTGCCTGAGGCGAAGGAGGTGCGTAGGAAAGTCGTGCGAGAAAACCACGACATCGTCGAGGTAGCAGAGGCACATATTCCACTTGAGGCCACGTAGCGTATTATCCATAAGTCGTTCAAACGTGGCGGGCGCGTTACAAAGCCCAAAGGGCATGACGTTAAACTCGTATAGTCCGTCAGGTGTAATCAATTTTTTGGCGATCGGCTTCAGCCATTGGAACTTGCCAGTAGCCAAGCCAGACCGCAAATCTAGCGACGAGAAGAATTCCGCTCTGCGAAAGGTGTCAATGGCGTCATCAATGCGCGGCAAAGATATACGTCCTTGCGGGTTATCTTATTCAAACGACGATAGTCCATGCAAAATGGGATAGATCCGTCTTTCTTACGCACCAGGATGACAGGAGACGCCCAGGGACTGTGAGATGGTCGAATGACGTCTCTACGAAGCATATCTTCGACTTGATCGTTGATGACGCGGCGCTCTTCAGTGGAGACATGGTATGGTCTTTGACACAGTGGCTGGTGTAGGCCGGTGTCAACATGATGCTTGACCTGCGACGTGCGGCCTAGTTGAGGTTGGGACACATCGAAAGAATTCCGGAACTCATGCAGAAGATCAAGCAGGACGGCATGTTCGTTGGGAGTGAGGGTGTCGGCGATGGCGCTGGAAAACGTATCCTTGGACGACTCCTCGAGGGCCGACAGTGATTTCGGGTGGCCGCAGTAGTCATCCGAGACATCAACCAAAGACGAAGGGTCGAGATCCTGCACGCGGCCGAGACATTCCCCCGCAAGCAAAGTGACAGGTGTGGAAAGCGGGTTGAGTATGAACATATTGCTTCTTCCGGCCGGCAAGGTCAATCGTAGCGAAAGGCAGCGGCAGAGCTAGACGACTTGTGAAGATATCGGAAGGCATAAAAAAGACTGTAGCGTCAGTGTAGGCGTTGCATGGAACTGGAACAAGTGCGAAATTTTCAGGTGGAATATCGGTATCTTCATGCACGAACAACTTCGGCGGCTGATGAAGAGCTTCAAGTAATGGGACATCACAAAAGGGTGAAAACTCAACTTCAGCGCGTGCGCAGTCGATGACGGCATTATGGCGGGATAGGAAGTTCCATCCGAGGATGACATCATGCAAACAGACAGCGAGGACAATAAACTCCACAATGTAAACAATGCCTTCGATGGACACTCTTGCAGTGCAGGCTGCGAGAGGCGTTACTTGCTGTGCACTTGCAGTGTGAAGTGACAGTCCCGAAAGCGGCGTCGTGACTTTACGTAATACACGGCAGACATTAGCGGCAATAACAGAAACAGCGGCGCCGGTGTCTACAAGGGCGAAAGTAGAATAACCTTCAACAGTTATTGCGACCACGTTAGCAGGAGAGGGGCGAGGGCTTAGACAGTTCGAAAATGGTGCAGTTCGTGCCTCTTGAACTGCGGTGCTTAGTTTTCCTGATCAGAAGGTCTGGGCCGGCGACGCACGGGGGAGGGCGATTGCCGACGAGGAGAGGGTGCGCGCGGCATCACGAAGTCGGGGTCGTTGGGAGAGGCATAGCGAGGTGAAGAGACCGGCCCGTATTGCGCGAAGGGTTGGCTGCCGGGTTGCGACGATCAGACATAGTCGCCGAACGTCTGAGGTCGATGGCGGCAGTAGCGGGCATTGTGTCCGGGAGTAAAGCAGGCGTAGCATATCGGTCGGTTGTCGGGCGTCCTCCAAGAATTGGCGACTGATGGTGCCGCCCAAGGTGCAGTATAAGCAGCCGGGTGTGTCGGCTGTGAGCGCGTGGTGTAGGGTGGTTGCGGAAGCCTACCCACAGCGTCTGCATATGTGAACGGCGCTGCTACAGGCTGCATCACTTGCGAACAGGCGACAGGAGGAGCCACAGGCTGCGCTGCATACGTTAGGGGCGCGGCCACAGGCTGCACGGCTGGAGGATAGGCGACAGGAGGGCTTACCGGCTGCGCGACACGCTGGCAGTGAACACGGCTGTATAGAGGCAACTCGTGGTGCACAACAGGAACAGCGTGGGCAACCTCTACCGAAATAGAAGTGCGAAGCGGGGCAGGTAGACGGGTGATGGTCTCGTAAGTAAAGGGCACTAGGGAAAGTTGGCGGGCGACTTCCTCACGGACGAAGGCTCGAACTTGCTGAAGCAACGGTGAATTGTCAGGCAGGGTGTGGAAACTGGACAGTGACTCACCACCATGCTGAGGCTGCCGAGTCAGAGTGCGTTGCTTCTTCAACTCGTCGTAGCTCTGACACAAGCTGACGACTTCGAAAACTGTGCTCGGATTTCTTGCCAAGAGCATTTGAAATGTGCCGTCCTCGATGCCCTTCAGGATGTGTTTGACCTTGTCAGATTCGGGCATGGTGTCATTCGCACGTCGATAAAGGTCAACAACGTCCTCAATATAGCTGGTAAAGGTCTCGCCAGTCTGCTGAAAGCGGACGCGCAAGCGCTGTTCGGCCCACTGCTTGCGGACAGCCGGCCGACCAAACACTTCAGCACATGACGTCTTGAAGACGCTCTATGTGGGGATGTTGTGTTTGTGGTTATTAAACCACAATTCGACGACGCCAGTGAGATAGAATATCACGTGGCCCAGCTTGTCGGCTTCATCCCACTTATTGTTGGCGCTCACCAGTTCGTAGTGTTCGAGCCAGTCTTCGACGTCAGTCCCATCCGCACCGCTGAAGACCTTCGGGTCCCGTAGCCTAGGATGGTCTGGGCAGATGAACTGGGGCGAAGGCGTCGATGTAGTGGCGTTGTCAGTCATGACAGGCGGTAGCGTGTGGCTTCGCAGCTCCAGGGTGTAGCAACGGGGATTAACAGCACCTTCCACCAAATGTGAGGAGGTTTATTAGCCATTAAAGACAGCGACGAGACAGCGTGAAGAACCGTCCAGCGATCGGCACAGCAACGAACCGAAGCATGAGCCGAGAGAGCAGGGCGTTGGCGATGCTGCTTGCTGCAGGTACATCTTCTTCTTCACAGATCAATGGTTTTGACATCCCCCTGTGCTTTTGAAAGCAAAGCTCTCAAGACTGTATACGAATTACTTGTGACATTATAGGAAGTATTCACAGTGAATATGAGCCGTGTAAAGAGCTGAAGTGCCGAAATACAGGTAATGAAAATACAGGTAAGCTTGTGCTGCCCTTTGACGTGTCCTACCCGAGATCTCTTTCCCATGTTTCTTTTTGCTCATCATACAGAGAACAGGTAGAACAGTAAAAATGTACATGGACCTTTGGAGAACAAAACCTTTGAGCCACGTTGAGTAAAAATCTGAGAAAAACTACCCTTGAAAAAACAGTGAAATACGAAAGAAAAGTCCTGTGCAGTCTGTTAGACAACAAAACTCTCCACAAAATTTAATGCCCATAAATCACATGTGCAATAGCAGAATTATATATATACCGTGATCGCAATGAAATTAATAACAAAGAGGAGAAGTAGTCAGCTGTGGGGAGCTCACCGACTTAAAAGGCTGCCAAATCATCCATATCGTTGAAGGAATATAAACATGTTCAAATTAGTTGAATGACAAGTTGCTCTCTATAAATCAAAACAACAAATGGATAGGCTGCATAAAGACAAGGTATGTTCACTCAGTCATGGCTAACTATTTTGTATAAGAGACCTCCTCCCCATGTTCATCTGAGGAACAACAGCAATGCTGCAGAATCTAATGCTGCAAGTCTCGATTAGAATCAGTCTCTTCATGTAGGCTGCATAAGTTTTTGTGAAGCTCTGAAACACTATCTAAACTGATAACCAATATTTTTTCAGTTCACGTTTAGGCACGCTCCCAGAATATCTGTTCAACCACAACGTTAGTGCAAACAAAATTCCAGTACCGGTACGGTTTTCAGATAAATTTCTGGTTCAGTTGAACACCCTGATAAGGTATATGCCACATCATATGTTCAACTGAAAGATATAAACCTCGCAACAAAGTTCACAACATAGCGAAGTTTCTTGCTACAAATATGGCTTAAGTATACTGAGGTTTAACTGTAGTAAATTACTAAACCACTATTTAGCATTTAGCACAGTTTGATAATTTAAGAAGAAAGTCATAAAACTATTGCCAATGTGCACAAATATCTTGGACATAGACCGCATTTGCAGCAAGCATATGATATATTAACAAAATTCAAGGTGCAGCAAAGCCTATACGACATATCTCCGTCGGATACTGAAACAGTTCAATTTTTTTTCTTACACTCACTCCCACCATACCAGCCCAGCATTGCATACAGCACAAACAATAATTCAACTCTTGCCTGCTTTCGGTAGGGTGACACAACACCAATGTCTTTTCCTTTTATCTGAACACCAAGGCCACTTTTTCCTTCCAGCAGAGAGACCACATAGTCAACAACCACCTTAATTTCCTCAGGATTGAAGTATGATGGGCATGTGGATTCCCTCAGATCTCGACCCAACACGCTGTGGAAGATAAGTGGACAGCCTCTACGAGGCAGCTTTTGCCAGTTGTCCATGCTGTGCGTGATAAGCTCATCCCCACACACCTGTAAAGTGAAGTGGATAGTCAGCTGATTCTAAACTTGGCATACAAGACTTTTTTATTTCCAGAAGCATTGGAAAAGGCACTGCTTTAGACAAAAAAAAGGCATTTAAGAAATATATAATATTACGAAGTTTCTGATCAGAGGCATCAAAGGATTTTAAAGCATCAAAGAAACAACATCGAAGTCACTGCGCATGCACGTGACCAAAACACCTTTACGATTCTGCAGTGGGCATGCTGTTGTTTTTTAATTAAGCGGGGAGCCCTATAACTTTCCGGGACCATCGCCTTTCCAAGGTCGCTTTGCCAATTGAGCTAACCAGGAAGCTAGCAATTGATAGCACGAGGGCGAATTCATCAACTCGAAGCACATGGACACAAATATTGCAGATGAGTTTTGCAGAAACCTGCAAGGTGGCGGAAGAGCAAATATTATTTGATAATCAGAAGAGCATTTCTCACAGCACAGGCTTTAGGACATTAAATATATATATATATATATAAGGGAAAGAAGTGTATACCTAAGGGCTCGTTTTTCCGTGTTTTAACACAATATTAATGAGGTCTAACAGACAGTAATGCCAAGGAATGTACAGGGGAAGTTATTAGAACCAATGGAATGTAAATAAGAAGAAAGAAAAGTGGATGAAAAAATAACAGCCGTGAGCAGGAAGCGAACCTACGACCTTTGAATAACGCGTTCGATGCTCTAACCACTGAGCTACCACAGCGGCCTTCCCTCCACCCACTTTTTTGGGTTTATATGTGAATTTAGAAGTAGGAGTGACAGTCAGCGCCATCTATAAGCCAAACGACAAGTGTGAAAACACTCTTATGCGCATGTTTGGCGTCACGTAGCAGGTGAACTTATTATGAGCAGGCAGCTGATTAATTGTCCCTCTTATACAACCTAAACACACCAAGTCTGCCAGTACGAGACCCTCGTTCAATGAAATAAGGGAAAGAAGTGTATACCTAAGGGCTCGTTTTTCCGTGTTTTAACACAATATTAATGAGATCTAACAGACAGTAATGCCAAGGAATGTACAGGGGAAGTTATTAGAACCAAGGGAATGTAAATAAGAAGAAAGAAAAGCGGATGAAAAAATAACCAGCCGTGCTCACGGCTGGTTATTTTTCATCCGCTTTTCTTTCTTCTTATTTACATTCCATTGGTTCTAATAACTTCCCCTCCCTGTACATTCCTTGGCATTACTGTCTGTTAGATCTCATATATACATATATATATATATGTATATATATATATATATATATATATCACATTCTAACAAAAACATTCTAACTTTGAGGTTTTGCAACAAGGCACTAGTATGTTCTGCTTCATAATGTAAAACTGCTTCTGTATGATGCCCTCTTCAGTTTTATCTAAATTATTGTTCATTACAGACCATTCACACTCTGTTATCTGATATCTAGAGCAACTTTGAATTCAATTCAGCAGTGCCGAGATTTGCCCACCACCACCACACTACGTACCACAACAAACCTCACACTAAAAAAGATAATTAAATGTCCACAATAAGGAATTATTCATATTGTGTATAATATACAGCAAAAACTCAATCTAAAAAAGTAATTTCCCAAAGTAGTAACAAGTAATTTAACTTTTTATACCTTGATGTGCCTAGGACATGTATTTTAGAAAGTATGATTACCCACATTTCCTGTATAATGAATTTTCATTGCTGCCGCAAAGCATGACCAAAGCAATTGAGTAAAATTTTGTTAAACTGTCCAGTTGCACATTGTCTACATGAATGCAGTTTTTAAATTGCGCATCATGCGACGGAGCAGCCCTTGAAGTGGAGCAGCATCTTTCTTGGCAACGGTTGGGAGCAAGAAGGGCAATAGTAATAATATTTGCTGGTATTTTTTTTGTTGAAACTATCATATTGTCGCGGTTCAACGTGAGCAGATCACCGAGACATTGAGTCTGAGAACCGGCGGCGTGTGTTTTTATGCAGGAGCCAAGAGCAAGAGACCTACACAAAAGCATGTTGTCTTCTTCAGTGTCCCTTTTCACGAGACTGTTGGCGCGCACATCGTCTTCATTCTCTGTCTGTTTCGAGCGCAGAATTTGCCTCCCCTTAAAAGAGCATCGCCCTGATGCTATAGCTGAGCCAGTGATTCGCGCATAAAGTCGCTTTGTACAAGCAACGATGCCTCGCAGAGTCACTCACTGACGTATGGCTTAATGCGCACTACGTGCCCAAGTTCAGGTCGGTGCTGGTGACACCTTGTACAGTTTGGGCTACCTGGGACAACTCCGTAGGTAACGTCACTTAGTTGTCGCAGCATTCAATAAGGTCCGAAGTATCTTCTGAGCAACTTTTCGGATAGTCCCCTCCCCGTCTTCGTACAGGCGTCCACAGCCATACCCTGTTTCCGGTTTCGTACGTTACAGGTGTATGATGTAGGTTATAGCGACCTGCGTTGTACTCTTGCTGTTGGTATATTCACAGACCTGCGAGCTGCCTGGCTTCCTCTGCACGTTGAGTAAACGCGTCAGCACTCGTTTGTGTCGTGGATTCCGAGGATGTGTCGAGGATTCTGTCGACGAGGATGTGTCGAGGAATGTGTCGAGGATTCTGAGGAATGCTGTCTCTTCATCAAAAGAAGCAGCCAACTCTATTATATCAAATTCTTGTAGTCTAAGGCTCCAGCGTGCCAATAGCCCAGAAGGACCTTTTAGACTTGTTAACCAACACAATGAGTGGTGGTCACTGATAACGTTGAATGGGGGGCTGTACAAGTATGGGCGAGATTTCATAACTGCCCACACCCCGACGAGGCATTCCTTTTCAGTGGTCGAGTAATTTGCTTCTGTGCGTGATAGAGTTCTGCTTGCGTAAGTGATCACTCTTTCCTCGTCGTCCTGTCGCTGCACAAGCACAGCTCCGAGGCCAACATTGCTGGCGTCAGTATGGAGCACTGTAGGGGCTGTCTCATCGAAATGGGCAAGCACGGGGGTCGTGTGTAGACGTTGCCGCAAGTCATTGAAAGCAGCTTCCTGTTCGTCGCCCCAAACAAATGCAACGTCATCCCTCGTGAGACGAGTTAAAGGCGACGCAATGCGCGCAAAATCTGGAATAAACCGCCAAAAATATGCACACTGACCCAGAAAACACCTGACTGCCTTTTTATCTGATGGTGTTGGAAACTGTGCAACGGCGGCTGCTTTCCCAGGATCTGAACAAACTCCTATGTAACTGACGACATGGCCAAGAAACTGTAGTTACTCAAAGCAGAAGTGACATTTCTCCGGCTTGCGCTGCAGCCCGTATGGCCTGCACGACTATTTGCCATTGTTCAAGGTGTTCGTCAAATGTTGTAGAAAGCACAATGACGTCGTCAAGGTATACTAGGCAGGTTCTCCATTTAAACCCAGAAAGAACGGTATCCATGAGACGCTGGAAAGTAGCAGGCGCGGAGCACAAGCCAAATGATAAGACCTTAAATTCGTACAGTCCGTCCGGCGTCACAAAAGAGGTTTTTTCAAGATCCCTGGGGTTGACTTCAATTCGCCAATATCCGCTCTTTAAGTCCATGGAAGAGAAGTAACGTGCGTTTCGAAGCCTGTGGATCGAATCATCTATGCAGGGAAGCGGGTACACGTCTTTTTCTGTAACCTGATTTAGCTTTCGATAGTCCACACAGAAATGCAGGCTGCCGTCCTTCTTCTTGACTAGAACAGAACAACAGGTGATCCCAAGGGCTTTTTGACGGTTGAATGCCGTCATCTTCAAGCATATTTGTTACCTGCTGTTCTATTGCTTCTCGTTCTTTTGAAGCCACACGGTACGGATTTTGATAAATTGGTCTAGCCGTGTCCTCTTTGATGATTCGGTGCTTGGTCAAGGACGTCCGGCCAACTTTCGAGGTTGACGCAAAATAGTCGTGGAACTCGGCTAGCAGCACAAGCAGGCGTTCTTGCTGTTGCTGAGTTAAAGTAAGGCTGACGTCAAGGTTAGGTGCTAGGTCATGTGGGTCTTGTGTAGGTGTTGCTCCGAGTGCTGAAAAGCAGTCACAAACATTTGCAATCTCGTCAAAATATGCCAAAGTTGTGCCTTTTGGAAGGTGCCGTCGCTCGAAGGTGAATTTGGTCAACAGCAAGTTCGTTCGGCCGTCGGTGACATTGACTATTCCTTGTGCTACTGAAATCCCGTGAGTGAAAAGCAGCGAGGTTAGTTGGTCGGCGACTCTTTCACTGTCGAACGGTACGTACATGCTACTGAAATGAGGATACATGATCGAGGCAGCACGACTATATTGTGGTCTTTGAGACAAAAGAATTTGTGCTCTGGTAATGAAAAATTAGTCAGACGAGCACTCTCGTAAAACCAAACCACGCGGTCCGGGACGTTGATTGCGCCATGCTCCCTGAGAAAGTCCATTCCTATAATTAAATCTTTGCAGCACTCTGAGAAAACGATGAAAGTCGCGCCGAAAGACGAATCTCCTATGCTGATTCTTGCTGTGCATCTTTCAGTAGGGTGCAGCAATTGACCAACCGCTGTTCTTATATGTGGCCCTGTCCACGGCGTTCCTACTTTTCCAAGACGATCGGCCAGATTGTGACTTATAGAAAAATCAGCACCTGTATCGACTAAGGCCATCACTTGCTCTCCATCAATAATTACATTGAGGTCGGCGCTCACCATTTCGCCGTTGTTAATATTCGTCGGCGTCGCGTCGTTCTGTAGCAACAGTACTGGGGACTTTTTATCGTCTTGTAGTTTGGCTGCGACCAAACCCCGAGAGGTCGCCGCCTTTAGTTTCCCCGGTAAGGGCTGGGCGACCTTGTTCCCCGAAGGTCAGCAAAAGAACGTCGATTCGGTAACGTTGTCTGAGCAGGGGATGGCGATGGTGACCTGTGGGCGGAGTCGGGCTGGCGATTGGAAAGCGACTCATGATAGGGAGACCACTTTGTTGAAGGTCCTCAAAAACCAGGGTCGTCATGGCGAACAATGTAATCCGCGT